ATGACACCAGGTGGCGCTCTCAGCAGATAAAAACCTGCTCCATCAACACGCACGTTTAGAAAAAATGCTTTAATGAGGATCTAAAAGGGACTTCTTGGGTCATTATTACGCTTCTAAAATAGTTTCTGCTACTTACAGCAAATTCAAAAATATAAACAACCTCTGATCTTTTCTAAGTGGTTCATCACAGCTGAACATCTCACATGTTGAAATGTTTTAGGATATTTTACACAACATTCATCAATAAATCACTCAGATCTGCTGATCATTCATCGTTCTACAGAAAACAGCTCGTGTCAGAATAAAACTCTTAAACTAAAACACTTTGTGTTTGAATAAAATCATAATCCTCCTCCTGACAGCAGGACGGCCACCTGGTGAGTTAGCGATGGCCGCTCCGCATCATCCTCCTGCTCCTGAACGCAGCTTCATCGTCTCCACCTTTACTTCTACAGCCGGGTGGAGCAGCAGCTTCAGCAGGAAAACTGGGTCAGATCCCAGGAAGCTGTTGGAATTTTTTATGTTTTCCAGCTTCACTAAACATGCAGAGCAGATTTCACACAGACAGCACACGCTTCTTCATCACATGATGAGGAGAGAAAAGCAGCAGTCTGAATCTGTCCACGTGGTGGCGCTAGAGGCTTAGTTCCAGCCTGCACCAACCAGTCAGTTAACATCAGGAGATCCAACCAGCTTTAGATGAGAACCACTTCCAAATCCTCCAGGAGCTACCAGGTTTACTGGTGGCGTCTCCTACTGAACTGGTCCTTGGAACTGGTTTCCTGAGAGCTGCTGTCGGGAGGAGAACTTTGATCCGGCAGCATCACCCAGCTTTCTCCACACCACCTGCAGAAACAACACCATCAGAACCTCTGAGGAGATCAAACGGATCCAGAAAAAAAAACAGATTCAGATCAGGAAAAGACTGGAATAATGTCCAGGATCCAGATCCAGGAAGGCTGGTCTACAGGTGGTGAAGGTGTGCTGGATGCTGATTGCTATCTACAGGTGTAAACTGGGAGAGCTGAGAGGAGAATGAAGATAAATGAAAACAACTCCATCTCTCTTCTGCTCCTCTGGAGGCGCTGGCTGAAACAGAGCTACAAACTTACGTTGCACATCTCCCTGACGATGGCCTTCTCCTTGTCGCTGAGGTCTTCATCATACTCTCTGGAGCTCCGTCTGTCGAGCTTCTCGTGAACCTCCAGGACCTGAACACACAAACATCAAATCGTGGGCTCTGATAAACTCTCGTGGGTCTCCTGATGGAGCGAGCGGGACTCTGGTCACCTTCATGGCGTGAACAACAGCTTCAGGTTTCTGAGCCAGGTGTAGGCAGAACCCTGTGGGGGGTGGTTCTCCACTGGAGGTCCAAGCAGGAGCCTGAAGAGGTCAACACCACATTTAGCAGAAAGAGAGGACATCTGTTGTCCACCCAGGTTTTCCAAAGTGATGCAGAATTCAGGCTTGGCTTTCGGAAACTAAAGCTTACCTGCGACATCAGCTGTTTGTTCTCCTCCTCCAGCATCTTCAGCTTGTTCTCCAGCTGTCTGACGTAGCCGCCAGACGCTTCTGAACAAAAGCAACACACCTGTTATGGTTTTAGTTTGTTCAGCACACGTTAGGATCCCATGAAGCAACGTTTGTTCTCAAACCTTCATCTAAAGTCAGACAAAACTTAAATAAAATCCAGATCAGGTGTTTGTTACCATGGCAACGGTGCTCCAGGGTTCAAGCACTCAACAGGAAGCTAGCCTATTAATCCACTAACGGATCCTCAGATCACAGCTTGAGGTGTTCTGGGACGTGTCGCTACAGGTCTGGACTGTGTTTGCCTCTGAATCAGGACTGAACCGGATCTGGGAAGGATTTAAGTTACTGAAATAAACACACACTAACTAACACGGAGCTTTGTTTTCAGCCGTTTACTGCATCATAATCAGACGCGCGGGTAAGAGCTCGGTGTCTGCAGCTCAGGTTTCAGGGTCGGCAGGTCAGGAGTCCGTTGTTCTTCTCCTGTTTGGAGATCCAGCTGTTTAGTCTGCTAGAAAACGGTCCAACAGGGAGAAGCGGAGGCAGGTTTAGGTTTACAGCCTGGAGGAGCAGCTTAGAGGGTCGAGAGTGGAGCGGTTCCTCCTTCAGCCCAGCAGGTCCGGATTATTGATCCGTCCTACAGTCACAGCTGCAGGAAGCGCTGATGTCACTCACTCACTCACACACACATCCTCTTCATGCTGACAGAAAAAGCAGAGGGCTGAATTACAGCCGGACAGCACCGACCCGCTTCTCTGTTCCGTTTGTGTGTGGACCTCCAGCTGATCAGCTGAGCTCCTCCAGGAACAGCCAGCTTTTCCTCTGTGTGTGTGTGTGTGTGCGTGTGTGTGCGTGTGTGTGTGCGTGTGTGTGTGTGTGTGTGCGTGTGTGTGTGCGTGTGTGTGTGCGTGTGTGTGTGTGCGCGTGTGTGTGTGTGCGCGCGTGTGTGTGTGTGTGTGTGTGCGTGTGTGTGTGCGTGTGTGTGCGCGTGTGTGTGTGTGCGCGTGTGTGTGCGTGTGCGTGTGTGAATGAAACAGGTTTCAGCTATAAAATCTGGGGTCACTGAAGGGAGATGACCTCTGACCCCGACTGTCTCACTCATGATGAGACTGGGGGGGGGGGGGTCTTTGAAGACCGGCTCCCCATTGTCTGTCACATAATACTGCGGGACAGATGGTCCAAACTGGGAAAATGCCAGAACACTGAACCCACCAGTGGGAGGAACTGGTTCGGACTGGTTAGAGCATCACAAAGTGGAATTCAGGATTCGGGATGACAGACATGGATGAGCAGCAAGAGTTCCCAATCGTTGTTCCTCAGGTTTTCCGTTGGATCCGTATCAGCACTTGGCCTGAACGTTAAAATCAAAACGGACTCCTGAGTACAAATGTTTAGTGTTTAGGACGTTGGTGGGCTCATCCCAGCAGGTGAGACTCTGTCTTCCCAGAGCTTCTGCTTCCGTACGAATGTGGGAATTCCGATGCGTTTTTTTAACAAACCTCTTTTCATCCACAAATAACAAATCAGCTGTTGGCGTTCATCCTGGTCTGCTCAGGTTTTCGGTTAATCCTCATCAAGACTCACTGGAATACTAGAAAAGTTGTAATGCTGTTGTTTATTTATTCACCCTGACATAAATAAATCTTTTCAAATGTTTTTAATGTTTACAGACGCAGAGCTGAAGCACAGCAGAGAGGGATGGGGCGGGGCTTGTATGTTGGAACCTTTATGTTTCGTGGGTTTGATTTGATTAAAGTCTTATTTTTATCTTCTGAAACAGATTCCCGAGCCGTCCTCAGAAACACGTTCGAGCCTTTCATTAGAGCCCAACTTTCCCATGACAGCTCATTATCATAACAACACGGCTTTTCTCTCTGTGGCACAAAGTAACTCTGTCACACGACGGCTGGCCAAGGGGCCCGCTGGTTAAACAGGATGACATCATTCTAAACTAAACTCAGAAACAAGAGCTTCCACCTGAGCATGTGGGCCTGGCTCCATCCTAACCTCCGACCTCCATCTGGACTCCGTCAGACTTGTTGGAGCTAAATGCTCCTTAGATCTGAGGAGGTGATTAACCATCTGTGGTTAGAGGAATAAAACCAGCAGCCAGAAGGCCTGAAGACTCTCGTACAAAGAGCATCGCTCATGAACCTGGATGTCAGTTTGAATAAATGACAGTAGGAAAATCATTTATCGAGTGTCTGAAGGGAAATAAGCTGCAGCCGTCAGTTTTACACGATGGACTCATAAAACTCAGTATTTGAGTTTTAAAGTGGAAAAAACTCCTTAACTTAAATTAGAGTTTAGTTGCCTTCTCAGCTAAATGGGACTTTCTTTTAAAATGTGACAAGAAAATAATTCGTCTCTGAAATCTGGTAAATGTGGATCCATGTAGACCAATGTGGACTCATGTGGACCCATGTGGACCCATGTAGACTCATGTGGACCCATGTAGGTCCATGTAGTCTCATGGACCAGTGGACTCATGTGGACACATGTAGACTCGTGTGGACTCATGTGGACCCATGTAGACCAATGTGGACTCATGTGGACCCATGTAGGCCCATGTAGTCTCATGGACCCATGTGGACTCATGTGGACCAATGTAGGCCCATGTAGTCTCATGGACCCGTCTGGACTCATGTGGACCCATGTAGATGTGGACTCATGTGGACCCATGTAGACTCATGTGGACCCATGTAGGTCCATGTAGTCTCATGGACCTATGTGGACTCATGTGGACCCATGTAGATGTGGACTCATGTGGACCCATGTAGGTCCATGTAGTCTCATGGACCCTAGTGGACTCATGTGGACACATGTAGGCCCATGTAGTCTCATGGACCCATGTGGACCCATGTGGACTCATGTGGACTAATGAAGGCCCATGTAGTCTCATGGACCCGTCTGAACTCATGTGGACCCATGTAGACCAATGTGGACTCATGAGGACCCATGTAGGTCCATGTAGTCTCATGGACCCGTGTAGACTCATGTGGACTCATGTGAAACCATGTGGACTTATGTAGACCTGGACCCGTGTGGATCCATGTGGACTCACCACAGTCTCTGTCGACCCTCAGGTCATCCATGGACCTCCTCATCGGATCAGTCTTCATGAGCAGGAGGTTCTGGTGGTGATCTGGACTCCCCCCGCTCCCGGCGCTGGACGTACTGCTCCCATCCCCGCCGTCTCTTGGCGGAACCGGCCCGTTCAGGTTGCTCAGACTAGACTGGCTGTCAATAGAGCTCCGGGATCGGGCTCCACTCCTCTCCTCGTCCAGCATGACCAGGATCTCCGTCAGCTCGGTGTTCTCCGCCTTCAGCGCCTCCTGGCCGGTCTCCAGCTCCGTCAGCTTCTGCTGGAACAGAACCAGGTCCTTCCACAGGACTCCGGCCGTGTAGCGGCCGAAGCGCTGCCACTCCCGGGACACCTTCCTGTCCTTCTGCCGGTCGTCATCCAGGAAGCAGCAGAGCTCCCGCAGCTCCTGGTTGTCCTCCTGCAGCTTCTGGTTCACCTCCTTCAGGCTCCGGATCTCGTGGAGGTGGACCTGCAGATTCCGGTTCACGTCCCTCATCAGCTTCCCGTGCTCCATCATGAGGTCCATGTTGCGGTTCTCCAGACTCCTAAGGGTTCGGATCAGATCCTTCTTCCCCAGCCTCAGTAGATCCTCGTCAGGCAGCCGGATCAGGTCTGCCGCGTCCATGTCTCCGAGTCTGAGGTGATCAGTGAGTCCTCCAACAGGTCCTAAGTTCTTCTTAAAACCAGATCCATGTTCGGGAGGGACGTCTCGAGTCGAACAGCTGATGTACCAGGATTAAAACGTCTGTGGCTGAGGAGGCGCAGCAGAGAAGAGGGGAGAGAGAGAGAGAGAGAGAGAGAGAGAGAGAGAGAGAGAGAGAGAGAGAGAGAGAGAGAGAGAGAGAGAGAGAGAGAGAGAGAGAGAGAGAGAGAGAGAGAGAGAGACCCTCTGCAGTGTGAGGGGAAATGGCGCCCCCCGCAGATCAGAATTAAAACAGCCAAAATGAAACTGAATATTAGAAATCTACGGAAGCCTGTCTGGGCCACAGAGAGAAAGTGTCGAGATTGAAGTTGAACAGATCCCGTACCCAGATGTTTCCCTGGTGATTGACAGTCTGCTGCAGAGCCTGATGAGCTGCTGAACAGGTGATTCATGTTGGAGCAGGGCAACAACTAAAACATGCTGGATATCGGCCCTCAGGGAAGGGACTTGGCTGCTCCTGCTCTATTTCACAAACAACCCAGTGAACCCAGTTTTGTTCTGGAAGGTTCGGACCGGATTTGCTGAGTAACGATCAAATAAAACCCATTTGATCAGAAACCTGGTTGTCTCTTTTGTTTTGATTTCTTTCTGTGTCTGTTGTTCTGGGTTGGTCTCTCTCTTCTGTGTTAGCGGTATTTGATGCACCTGGCCAGGTGCGCTCCTGCCCCTGTGTGCTGTGGGGCTCTCCTGCAGCAGAGTCCTCGCAGGCTGACGGTTATGACAGAACAAACCGTTTCTCCGCAGCCGTTACAACTTTTCTGTTTTATTTGGGAAACAAGGCCAGAACCGGGTCAGACTCACCTGCAAAGCTCTTCAACACGGCAACGTGGCCTTAAATTCTGGGACACCTTTAAATCTGACACTTCCTCATGTTTTCAGCAGCTAAAATCCACATCATGCACTCCAGACTGTATCATGACCCAAAAGAATTAGATCCTTCAGCACCACGTGTCCTTCACTGTTGACTGGTGTTGGTCTGAGCTCCAACAAAATAATGCATCTGTAATTATTGCATCACAGTAAAACCCAAGTGTGTGAAAAATGTCCACAAATGGATTCAACTTCAATAACCCTGAAGATCTACTGCTGTGTCTCTGGTAAGAGTGTGTGTGAGGGACTCCCTGAGGTGGATCTGAACAGCTGTGATGGCATGAAATGAAGGAATTAACTAAACAAATAGACATAAATGCCAGAGATAAAACCTGATACCACTCGTTTCCGATCACGTGTGTGGGTTCTGCACCTATAATCTTGTTAATTACGTTTTATTTAGTCTAAAATGACGTCACAAGACGTGTCCCATTTGAAGAACTGTGTCCAGGCTTTTGGCGCCCCCTGCTGGACAGCTCGGGTCCTGTGGATCTCAAAGTTCCGCACAGAAGCAGGAGCAGAGGCTTTGCGGCTGTTCGGTGGCACGCACACGGCGCGTCACCACGTCGGAGGTCAGACCGGAGTCCGACCATCACAGGAAGCTCGTGGACGACCCGGTTCTGGTCCCGGTCATGTTGCGGGTGAATCCTCCGCGGCTCTGGCCGCAGGGACTCGTGTGCGTTGTGAGTTTGCTCCTGACACCTGCGGAGCTTCACCCGCAGTGTTTGGACTTCAAACCGCCCTTCAGACCCCTCCGGGAGCTGGACTTCTGCGTCATGTACCGGGAGTTCGGCTGCTGTGACTACCAGAAGGACCAGGAACTGATGGCTCGGTATTACCGGATCACCGGGAACTTTAATGAGCGCGGATACGCAAACTGTGCGGGATTTGTGCTGGAGCTGCTCTGCCAGGTAGGCACACGGGCAAAGGTCACCTGGCGCCCTCCTGAGCCGTGAGCACACTCAGATGTTTGTGTGAGCAGAGGAAACATCAAACTCAGTCACTAAAACCGAGTTTAGATGTTTGTCAGCCAGATGTGACCAGATGTTTCCACACCTGACATAACCTCTTCTGTTAAGTTATTCATGTTTGATTTTCTCTTAGAAACCTTATAAAGTCATTAGTCAGAACTCGACTGCAGACCGAGCGCGCTCATAAATGTTCTGCTGTCCATCTTAGGAATGTTCTCCATATGCCGCTCACCTGTTCGATGCTGAAGACCCGAGTACCCCGCTCAGAACCATCCCCGGTCTCTGCTCGGATTACTGCTCCCGGTTCTGGACCAAGTGCCACTCCATCCTCCCGCTCCTTTCTGATGATCCACGGATAAAAGAAAACAGAAACATCCAGACTCACCTCTGTAAGCTCCTGGAGCTAGACGATGCCGATTACTGCTACCCCCACCTGCTCACCAACCCGAAGCTCACCCAGAACCTGGGTCGGGTCCAGACGGGTTCAGATGGCTGCCTGCAGCTGTGTCTGGAGGAGGTGGCCAACGGCCTGAGGAACCCACTCGCCATGGTGCACGCCAACGACGGTACTCATCGGTTCTTTGTGGCGGAGCAGGTGGGGCTGGTCTGGACCTACCTTCCGGATCGGTCCAAACTGGAGAAACCCTTTTTGAACATCACCAAGGCGGTGCTAACGTCATCCTGGGAGGGAGATGAGAGAGGCTTTCTGGGACTCGTCTTTCACCCTAAATTCAGGTACAACAGGAAGCTGTACGTGTACTACTCTGTGGAGGTCGGCTTCGACGAGAGGATCCGCATCAGTGAGTTCAGGGTGTCCACCAACGACATGAACATGGTGGACCACACCTCAGAGCGGTAGGTATGGACGCCGGCCCAGGGCAGACCACCAACAGCTTTTCAGCAGTAATGAACTCTGTCTTCTTCTCTGAAGTGTTATTCTGGAGATCGATGAGCCAGCTTCCAACCACAACGGTGGCCAGCTGCTCTTCGGAGATGATGGCTACCTGTACATCTTCACAGGTGATGGAGGGATGGCAGGAGACCCGTTTGGGAAAGATGGAAATGCCCAGAACAAGTACTGACTACAGCATCAGATGATCCTTCAAAGCAAGTACATCTAAGAATCTAAAAGATGTTTCGTTCCAGGTCGGCTCTCCTGGGAAAAGTTCTCCGCATCGATGTGGATAATAACGAGAGAGGTCCGCTCTACAGGATCCCTCCAGATAACCCCTTCATACACGATTACGAAGCCCGGCCTGAGGTGTACGCTTACGGAGTCCGGAACATGTGGCGGTGCTCGGTGGACCGGGGTGACCCACGGAACAAAGAGGGCAAAGGTCGAATCTTCTGTGGAGACGTGGGCCAAAACAAGTTTGAGGAAGTGGACATCATTGAAAAAGGTCAAAACTACGGCTGGAGAGCCAAAGAGGGATTCTCCTGCTACGATAAGAAGCTGTGTGCCAACAGCTCGCTCGGTAGGCATCAAACATCAGCTGTGAAGGTTCTCCACGCCTTTGCAGCGAAGAACACAGATAGCTTCTTCTGTAACACATGACCTCAGCGATCCGATCCAACAGACGACCGTCGGCTACAGCAGCTCTGAAATCATCCAAGAACCATCAGAACAACAAAGAAATGATTTAGCTTCACTGATCTTTAGGATTCAGACGGAACCACGCTGGTCCTGCTCACCGGCTGCTGTTTCGTTCACAGGCGACGTTCTGCCGATTTACGCTTATCCTCATAAGATGGGCAAGTCCGTGACGGGGGGGTACGTGTACCGCGGCTGTGAATACCCCAACCTCAACGGCATGTACATATTCGGAGACTTCATGAGTGGGTGGGTTGAACCTGAATGGTGCGTTTTTCCAATAAAATCAACATTATTGACAGCTGTTGGTTTGATCCTTCTTCATTTAGATGCTTGAGATGATATTAGCTGAAGGTCTCCATGTTTCAGGCTCCTGATGAGTCTGCAGGAGGACAAAGCCGGAGGCCGGTGGCGGTATAACGCGGTCTGCATGGGGATGGGACTCACGTGTGCCTTCCCCGGACTCATCAACAACTACCATCACTACATCATCTCCTTCGCCGAGGACGAAGCTGGTAAAACCTCAGCCACACCCACGAAAGCCCGTCTGCTGGGCTCGAATCACACGACTTGTGTTTTCCTGCAGGCGAGCTGTACTTCATGTCCACAGGAGTACCGAGCGCTACGTCGCCATCGGGCGTCGTTTATAAAGTGGTCGATCCGTCACGGTGAGACACGAGCTAAATCGTTATAAAGAAAACTGGAGAGAGGGAATTCTGAATGTGCTCGGAAAATCCGAGAAACTGTTAATCTTAGAAGCCACACATCTGTTTATGATCACAGAGGTGTGTGTGGCTGTTGGGTGGCTCTGGTTTTGGTGGGATGTTAAGATCTCGGCTCCTCTTAGCTGGAACCTATCTGATGTTTCTCCTCACAGTTTATTCTTCTGGTCATTTTGGAGGAAAATGGCCGCCTAATCATCCCGATTGAACCTGGGTTCTCTTTAAAATGCATCAAAGGGACCGTTTGTTGTGATTTTGCCCAAAACTAAGATTTGTTTTGCAGACGGGCCCCTCCGGGACAATGCCATTATGATCCTCTTCCTGTCAGAGTAAAAAGTCGTCTCATACAGTTTGTTCCACACGAATGTAGGTTGAACCAACACAGACGTGTTAAATGGCCCGTTTTGGTTGTTACTTTATCTGAATCTGTTGTCACCTTTCCTTCTTCAGCTCTGATTGGTGTGGAGCAGCCAACCAAAAACGAGCCTGAACCACAACCCACCAAGAGCTACGACTGGCTCTTAGAGCTCCTTGATAATCTAGGAGGCGTGGATCCAGCCCCGACTACCCCAGCACCGATCCGAACTACCACCAAGTCACCCAGAAGTTCCCGTCGGAAGGACCGACGTCGGAAGGTAATTCCCGCAACAAACGATGCGCCTGAGCTTCAGAATGGAGCCGTGAGGCTGGTTGGTGACGAACATGGGCGCAGCGACCGTGGACGGGTGGAGATCTACATCCACGGGGAGTGGGGTACCGTGTGCGATGACTTATGGACAACTGCTGATGCCGAGGTGGTTTGCAGGCAGCTGGGATTCCGGTATGCCCTGAAGGCATCCAGGAACTCTGAGTATGGTGAAGGGAAGGAGCTCCGGATTCTTCTGGACGATGTTCAGTGTGAAGGAGCAGAGTCCAACCTGCTGGCGTGTTCACATGCTGGTGTGGGGAGGCACAACTGTAACCACCTTGAAGATGCTGGAGTGATCTGTGGAAACTCACCCCCTGTTGTAGAAGTCTAAATGTGAATCATTTGAATGAAGAGCTAAATCTGCGGTCTAAAAACCCTTCTACAGTTTAACTGAGCCAAAACGTCCCTGCAGCTGCTGCCCAGGTTCACCTGCAGACTCATCTTCTATAATTAGTTTCGTGATGGACGTGAAAACAGAAGCAAAATGGGGGAATTGTGTGAAATACGCTAATGCAGAAATGATAAAGCTCCTTTAACAGGATACTACCTATTTTAATTCTCTAATAAAGTTACTAAGGATGCAAAATGAGGTGCAGGGTCAACATTTTACATTTAGTCCAGTTTTGATCACATCAGTGGTCCAATTAAAATCTATTTACTTTCATTAATCCAACTTATCCGGCCTTTTAGTTGACTGGAAAATAAATGTTTGACTAGTTTCTCTCCTATAGAACCAAATGTTTATTTTTCCTGTTATCATAATGACGTATGATGCCATGTTGATACTTCTGGGTGGATGTGTGTAAATAATTCGCTAAATGATTTTAATAAAAAGCCTACATCAGCCTCCATTTTCTTTTTAGTAAAGGCGGGTTGCAGCGCCGCCCTTTGTGGCCAGAAGATCGCAACTTCAGCGTGGCGGCCGCCCCCTGTAGGATTTAGAAAAGTGGAGCTGACATACCTGGCGCTGCAGTCTGTTTCCAGCACGTTTTAGATCGTGAACACAGCTAATTTGTTTTATATAGCGATGAATCAATCCTGTAGACACTAATGGTGAAAGACCCACACTTGTATAGCAACTTTCAGAGTCAGAGGACTTCAAAGCGCTTTACACTACAGTGTATCATTCATCCATTCACACACTGGTGGTGATGAGCTACGCTGGAGCCACAGCTGCCCTGAGGCGTTGGCGCACTGACAGAGGCGAAGCTGCTGTACACAGGCGCCACCGCTCCGACCAACAGCAGCAAGCAAGGTGAGTTAGGTGTCTTGCCCAAGGACACAACAGCAGAATTTCCAATCCGGAGCCGGGATCAAACCTGCAACCTTCAGATTACTGGACAACCCGCTTAACCTTGGCAAACTGCTGCCCCAATGATGGCTGGGGAGATATTTCGCTTTTGGTTCTACTAAACGGACGCTAGGAGGTGCTAAAAGCTAGCCAAAACTGCCAAGTGTGCCTTTAATGTCAGTTTTTTTCTTGCTAGTCATTTGGACAGCCAGTCTGTTTTGACTGAGGTACCGTAATTATATATATATACATATAACTCTTACTGCTGCAAGTGTTTAAATGTTTTAAGATGCGTTATCCTACTAAAATATAAGTTTAATGCATAAATAAATTACTTGTAAAAAGTGATTGTACATTGTATTGAAATAAACTTAACTTGTGCATTTATTCATTCAGGACAGGTATTAGCATTAGCAACGCATTAGCTGTCATCGGGCTAAATGGTTACACTGGGATATGTTTCATTTATCTAAGTTAAATTAGAAGGACAACACTTCTTCGCAGTTCAAAAAGGTTTGGAATTAGTGTAATTTAACGAAGGTAACGTGAACCAGAATCTGTTAATACCAATGTGAAAAACACTAGCAGGAAATTTGGCGGTAACACTGGCTCCATAGCTCAGTGGTTAGAGCACTGGTCTTGTAAACCAGGGGTCGCGAGTTCGATCCTCGCTGGGGCCTACTTGGTTTTTTTTTTCTTGCTTTCTGTTTCCAGACAAAGTGGCTTCATAAACATGTTGAGCACTATGATAAATGATAAATGACCCGCACTTGTATAGCGCCTCTCAGAGGAAGGACTCCAAAGCGCTTTACACTACAGTGTACCATTCATCCATTCACACACACAATCACGCACTGATGGTGATGAGCTACAATATAGCCACAGCTGCCCTGGGGCGAACTGACAGAGGCGAGACACATTTTCAGTCAGCACACCTGGGTCTACTCGTTACATGCATGCGTGAGTTTATTACAGGTGGTATTCACTTCATGGCAAACTAAAGCCGTTTCACGAATTTCTTATTGAACTCACTTTACTAAAATGTGACTCCTATTTTTAATTAAAATGTTTACTTAATAAATGACCTAAAATTCCACTTAAAGACTCAGATGACGGATTTCCTTTTTTATAAACCCAACCAAACGGTTGAGCAACAACCGGCCGATGCTTGTCATCCCTCCATTCAGCCACTAGGTGTCAGTGATGATTCTGGTTTTAATCCAGACAGAGATGGTCCACTGAGGTTCAAAAATGACGACGAAACCTTCATAGTCTTGATTTAATTGTAGACTTTATACATTACATTTTCTCGAAGATGCAACACAAATTTGTCTGAAAAAATAAACTCTTCTGTTCTCTGGTTGACTAAAGTGGCATTCTGGCTCCAAGGGGAACGCTGGGAGTGCCATCCTGGATTATCAGAGGAGAGAAAATTCTCAGTAAGAGTCCCATAAACCGAAAAAAGCCAGAATCGAACAAAATAACTTAGATTTCATGTAAAATCTTGTTTCTCGTTGATAAAAATAAACTATCAGGGGAAATGAAATGTGTTTACATAGACATAATCTCTCATAGATTACATGTAAATGTGATAATCCCATCAGATTAATAAATGTTCAATCCTGGTATTAGGCTGATGTTTACCGTAACAACGAGGCCACATTATTTATAATTAAGCTTTTTCAGATCAATTATGCCAACATCTAATTCTAATATTGACTCTTTTATTCTGCAGAAGCTAAAGTAAAATAACTTCATTCATAATCTGAATGTTTTTTCTGATTCAGAGCTGCACCTGAAGTGCTTCTAAATTCTGCACGGCATCATCTGAAACCTCACATGCTGCTAGCAGTAAAAAACACCTTCCTATCGGCCTCAGAGAGGCTTTAGGACTCAAGGCGAACCGTTCTCTGGCAGGAACTGGAAAGGCGTGTAAAAAAAGCCGCTCAGCTCGTTTTGAAAATTGAAATCAGATGTACTTTCTTCTCTGCTTGCACGACTGTCACATTAATCCTCGGTTTGTTCCTGCGCTTTCCTTCATGTAGGTTAGCATGTAAGGAAATGAAGATGAAAGGCCTGGAATGATTTGTGGCCATTAGAGTTCGCTGGTGGCCTCATCCGCAGAGCTCTTTGATCAGCTCCTTCTTCCAGCCTCGTGAACTTCCAAAAGCATGACCTCTCTCTGCACAGACCGACACTTGGCTCTGCCCACCCCACGCCGTGCTCACAGACCGCACATGGCTAACGTTTGTTTCTCGTTAGGCTCAAACAACAGTTTGAGTTCCACCTCTCAGGCTCTGTTTTCTCTTCCCAAAGCAGGAAAGCGGCCCGGCGTGTGAATCCATGCAGGCACGTCGCTCTGCTGACCTCTGACCGCCGTAAAAGTTGGATCAACACAGTGACTGAAAGCAGAGATAATAAAGATAAACAGCAGAGGCAGCCAGAGCGAGGAGGTTCCTGCTCACGAGAGACAAACGGTCCAGGTGAGCTCGAACGAAGGCGGGAGTCACAGATAACCTCCTGAGAAAACACGGTTTTATTAAGCAAACTCCCCCGAGACAAACAGCCGAGCTTCAGCGCACAAAGATCAGCCGCGGGGATAACGGGAGGTTCAACGGTAGAGGTCACGACCCCTAATGAGGGTCTCAACATAATCTAGATAGAGCCGTGTGTGTGTGTGTGTGTGCGTGTGCGTGTGCGTGTGCGTGTGCGTGTGTGTGTGTGTGTGTGTGTGTGTGTGTGCGCTTCACACTCTAACCCTCAAACCAAACATCAACCTGAAACCTCAGTCCTCCTGAAGTTCTGATTCTGGTCCACATGAGGTCCAGACTCTCAGACGGACTTCAGCACGGTCCATCGGAAACCGGTTTCTGGTTCTGATCAGCAGGCCGACGCTGGAGGTGAAGTAGAACTCGGTGGTGGAGTGGAGATGATCTCCAGAGAGAGCTGACACTGGGCTCACCATGACGTCACCTCCAGAGCTTCTGGCTCTTCTCATCCTGCCAGTGGGTTCAGGGTCGGAAGCACACCTGAGAAGGACCATGGAGCTCACAGGTGGAGCACACATCTGTTCACATCAGTCGCACCTGATCTGGACCGTCACAGGAAGGAGAAGATTCTGAGCATGTGCAGCATCGTTACAGCGAGTTGTGTTATTTAGAGTCATTCCTTGTTTCATCCCAATGCCAACATGTGGTTTTGGGTTTCTGTGCCGTTTGTGTCGGGATCAGCGGTTCCAGGAGAGCTCTGCTCCTCCAGGACCGGTGAGGGTTAGGCGTTTGATGAATGGTGTCTCCGAACGTTGAGAGCAGCTCCGGTTCTGGCTGGATGACCCGTCAGAGCGGAAAGAAAACATCTTTTCTTAACAGACGACTGAACTCAGACACTTTCCTGTTTTAAATCTTCCTCCTCAAGTGTTTCTTTAACACTTTCCTATGGTTGAGATTCCTGCTGCCGGGTAGAAACGCTCCACACACGGAGCGTGAAAAGGTGTTATTATTCCCATCTGATGCGACTTCCAGCTGCGCGTCTGGATCACCAAATCCA